CACACGCACCCACACACGGACACTTATCCCCAGAGGGTGGGCTCACAGTCAGCCTGCCATCTACACACACACACACACACACAGACACTTCTCTCCAGAGGGTGGGCTCACAGTCAGCCTGCCGTCTACACACACACACACACACACACACACACACACACACACACACCTCAGGAAGCATCGGTCTGGCCAGGAGATCGCCGCCCCGTGCCATGTGCTTAGTGAGAAATACAAGATGGTGCCAGCCTGCATGCCTGCCCAAGAAGCCATGCTCGTGGTGACAGAGCTCGCTGCCACAGACGGTGTAGCCAGCCCTGTGTCACACACTGCCGCATTGTTCGTTCCTGTGCCGGGGTGCAAGGGGGTTGGGGGCCGGGAGCCCTGTGGCTGTCATGGGCTGAGTCTGGGACTACTAACCTTCAGCTCCTGAGTTCAGATCCACCGGCCACTCCTTAGGAGAAAGAGGAGGCTCTCTACTCCCAGTGAAGATTTAGTCTCAGAGCACTGCCTGTCAGGGTCACTGTGAGTCAGAACCAACTCCGAGGGCCCAGGTGGGGTGCCGCAAAACAGAGCATTATCGTCATCGTTGTTTGGAGGAGCGAACGGAGCCCCAGCAAATTGAGGGACCTGCCCAGAGTCATACGGCCGTACACGCGTGTGCACACACACACACACCCTTTTCCTCTCGGTGGCCCTTTGCCAACAACTTTCCAGACTCACAGTCCTCACGTTGATTCTGACCAATAGAGGCCCTGGAAGGCAGACTAGAACTGCCCCAGTGGATTTCCAAAGCTTTAAGGCAGCGGCTCTCAACCTTTCTCATGCCGCGTCTGTCTTGACAAGAGTGGAAAGCCCCCTCTTTCTCTACAGGGCAGCTGGTGAGGGCAAACTGCTGACCTTACAGTTCACAGCCCGCTCATGACCCACCCACTTCCAGGGCTCCTTCCCCCTGCCCTAGGAATTGGCTTTCCCCTCATCCAATCCGCTTTGGCGTATACCCCCTCCAGCCAAGATGTCCCCACTAGGTCCAAGTCCCCCGGGGGGTGGCCAGCCTAAGCAGTCAGGCCACTGGGGCTGTAGTCAGAGGATTGAACCGTGGCCGCTTCCTCCTGGGACAAGGTCACCAGGCCGGCCGGCCCTCCTCTGGGCCACAGCGCCCGCTCCCCTTGCCCAGCCTGCAGTTCTCACTGGCTCCTCCCTGCAGGCCTGGCGCTCTCCGACCTGATCCAGAAGTACTTCGTGTCACCCACGCTGTTCCGCGTGATCCGTTTGGCCCGCATCGGGCGCGTCCTGCGGCTGATCCGCGGCGCCAAGGGGATCCGGACGCTGCTCTTCGCCCTGATGATGTCCCTGCCGGCCCTCTTCAACATCGGCCTGCTCCTCTTCCTCGTCATGTTCATCTACTCCATCTTCGGCATGTCCAACTTCGCCTACGTCAAGAAGGAGTCCGGCATCGACGACATGTTCAACTTCGAGACCTTCGGCAACAGCATCATCTGCCTCTTCGAGATCACCACGTCGGCCGGCTGGGACGGGCTGCTCAACCCCATCCTCAACAGCGGGCCCCCGGACTGCGACCCCACCCTCGAGAACCCGGGCTCCAGCGTCAGGGGGGACTGCGGCAACCCCTCCATCGGCATCTGCTTCTTCTGCAGCTACATCATCATCTCCTTCCTCATCGTGGTCAACATGTACATCGCCATCATCCTGGAGAACTTCAACGTGGCCACGGAGGAGAGCACCGAGCCCCTGAGCGAGGACGACTTCGACATGTTCTACGAGACCTGGGAGAAGTTCGACCCGGACGCCACCCAGTTCATCGCCTACAGCCGCCTCTCGGAATTCGTGGACACCCTGCAGGAGCCCCTGAGAATCGCCAAGCCCAACAAAATCAAGCTCATCACACTGGACCTGCCCATGGTGCCCGGCGACAAGATCCACTGCCTGGACATCCTCTTTGCCCTGACGAAGGAGGTGCTGGGAGACTCGGGCGAGATGGACACCCTCAAGCAGACCATGGAGGAGAAGTTCATGGCGGCCAACCCCTCCAAGGTATCCTATGAGCCCATCACCACCACCCTCAAGAGGAAGCAGGAGGAGGTATGTGCCATCAAGATCCAGAGGGCGTACCGGCGGCATCTGCTCCAGCGCTCTGTGAAGCAGGCCTCCTACATGTACCGCCACAGCCAGGACAGCAGTGGGGACGGGGCCCCGGAGAAGGAGGGGCTGATTGCCACCGCCATGAACCAGATGTATGGCCACCCGGACGGGGACAGCAGACTGCCCAGCAAGAGTGAGGAGACACTCTCCACAGAGGACGCCAGGCCTGCTGTGGGGCTCATGGCCCTCGGCCCCTCAGATACTGTCCCTCCTCCCTCCCCGCCACCGGGACAGACAGTGCGCCCAGGGGTCAAGGAGTCTCTGGTCTAGTGGGCAGCGGTGAGGTGGCCAGCTGAGCCTTGGAGTCTCACCAGCTCCCCCGGGTGCTTGTAAGCTAAGAGTCTGGGGCTGTGCCTGGCTCCCTCCTGCAGGGACAAGAAGTGGGGGTGCCGAGGCTGACCACCAGGCCCAAGCGCCAGCCCCCTCGGGCAGTGGGACATGGGGATTGCTCCTAGGGGCTTCATGCTGGCCCTGAGGCCCCAGCCAGCATGATACTGCCTTCAAGTGCCTCTGATCTCCTCCTGGGCCCACTCCCTTCCTCTTGACCCTGGGGCAGGTCACACACCAGAATCAATGACCCCTGACTCTGGGAGGAGCCAGCCTACAGTGGAGGGATTGGCTACCCTCCTTCTCCAGAGTCTTACGGGCTGCCATCCCCCCTTCTCCCCATAAAGTATCTCAGGCCCCCAACCCAATCGCAAAGAGTAAAGTCTTAGCCCCAGGGCGCAGCTTCCCTTTGCCTGCTCAGGGACTCCCAAGGAAAGGGACAGCGCACTGGCCCAGAAGTGGCTCTACAGACCTGAGTGGCCACTGGATCCCGACGCGCTGGACTGTGGCCGGGGCCCACGGCTCCCCCAGGCTGACCCCTAGGGGACAGCAGAAGAGGAAGTCCCCCGGGCGGTTGCTTTGGTCTGGGCAGCACGGATGGATGGTATCGCCACTCTTTTCAACTTGAGCTTTCAGATCTGGGGAGGGGCTGGAGACCCTGGCTCAGTAAGAACCTTCTCCCTCGTTCCCTACCCCCCTGGGACCTCCATCACCCCCACAGCACTCCTCGAAGCTTCAACAGGGCCTCAGAGAACTCCCCTGTCCTCCCTCTCCCAACACCATCGCTTCCTTCTCCTCACCCTTTCTTGCTTCTCCTCAAAGTGATCCTGAGAACGGACTGGTGGAGCTCCTGCTGGGGGTCGGTGCCCCGGGCTCACCTCTGCCTGAGTGAGAGCCAGGGAGCCCCGCTGCTGGGCATACTGGTGCCAGGCCTCCGCTGACCTCTGTAACAGAGACAGACAGAAGCTGCCCTTGACGGAGACACTGAGAGAGCTGCTGGGGGGGTGGCCGGGTTTATTCCCTATGTGCGTACCTGTGTGGCTTCTGTCTGCTGGGGTGTCTGTGTGTATGTGTGTGTGTGTGTGTGTGTGTGTGTGTGTGTGTGTGTATGTATGTGTGTGTGTTCAAGTATGAGTCCATATGGGTGTGGGCCTCTGTACCGTGAAGCCTGCATATGTGTGCGTGTACAGGTATATTTGTGTGTGTATGTATGACTGTGTTCCTATGGTGTCTAGAGGTCCCCGTGTGAAGGCAGGCTAATGTGTGTGGGCCATCTACTCAGGCTTGTGTGTGTGTGTGTGTGTGTGTGTGTGTGCATGAGTGTGTTGTGTGCATGTTTGTGTCGACATGTGCCCGCATGCCCCCAGAATGCAGGGCTGTTCCTGTGAGTGTACTTTGCTGGGCCGTGAGTGAGTGTGGGTGGGAAAACGTATGGTACGAATTGTGCCGGGACTCCTGTGTTGGCATAAACCCCTCTACCTTTTCTTCTTGTCTCTCGTGAACAATTAGCTTAAAACTCAATACACAGCAAAATCTTCAGAACACCATACGTGTGTTTGAGCTGCGTGTGAGTGACCGTGGGCCCATTCTCTCACACACACCCCCTGTCCTGTCCTTCCCTCCCAGTGGGGTCGTCTTCCTGTCTCTCGCTGTCACACAGGGGAACCTGGCTCCCCATCCACCACCTGGCTCCCCATCCACCACCTGCATCTCCTTGAAGCCTCGCCTCCCTCTGCCTCTTCTCTGGTTCCGTCCCTTTCTTCCGGCTTCCCCGCCCCCCTTCCCGGGCTCAGCCTCCTCCCTGCCTGCACCTACCTCTCCCTCCAGGGCCCTGAACTGGCATGGCCCCAAGAGCCCCCAGAACCTCTTGACCAGACCTTCTCCACCAAACTGTGCAGACTGCAGGGTCCCCACCTCCCCTTGCCCGTGGGCCCCTCCCCTGCCAGGGCAGCAGAGGGGCCCCTCGTACAGTACTCAGAATAAACCCTGCCATTCCTCTCCCCGGCTCCAGTGGATGTTGGTGGGGCAGAGACAACAAGAAGGAAAGAGGCGGGCGGGGGTTGGATCCAAGAGGGAAAGGCATTGTGGGGGGTTCCTGAGGATTGGGAGGGCAAGACAAGGAGAACTCCAGCAATCCCCCCCAAAAAAAAAAATTTGGAGACCAAGAGGCCAGATGGGGTCAGGAGCCATGACCCTCCTTCCCTGACAGGCAGCACCAAGCTCACCCTCCCCACTCCTGAGCCCCCCAAAACCAAAACAAAACTCTGCCATCGAGCCGATTCAGACTCCTGGCGACCCTGCAGCTCTGGGTAGAATGCCCTGTGGGTTTGAGACCGTAACTCTGTAGACAACCTCATTTCTCCCTCCCTCCATGGCAGCACCCAGACCCAGGAAATGGGTAGTTGGGACACTTGCCCTCCAGCCCCTCCCTCCTGGAAGCCCTCCGCGTCTACCTCAGGTACCTATGGAGCACATAGTGCACATCGCCCCCCACCCCCTTCACCCCCTCTGACCCCCGACCTTGGAGTCCTGAGCAGTGCAGCGCACAGCGTGGCCCTGTGCAAAGTGTAAATGGGTGTTGGCCCTCCGGCCGCCGTTAGCAAGCCCAGGGCAGGGGGTGGGTGGGCATAATTGGACCTCTCTTTCCATTTCCTAGAACTTGATTTCTGGCTTCAGGGACTGTAACAGTCTCGTCTGCCCCAAGATGTCCTCAGCCACTTCCCTGTGACCCTTGCCACCTTACAGTGCTCTTTCCTGTGGGGGGAGGAGCCTCAGGGTCCCCAGGAGCTTTCTGAGGCCCCCACTAGGGCCAGCTCTCTCTGCTCAGGGTGCCAACCCCCTTCCCTGGGAAGAGGACCCCTCCAAGCCTCACCAGAGTCCTCTCCTGCCCTGGCCCACCCTCGCCCTGGCCCACCCTCGCCCTGGGCCTTGAATGATGGGGAAACAAAAGGCAAAGTATTGGGAGATATAGATGAGGTTGGTTAATATTTCACCACATCCTCTCTCTCTCTCTCTCTCACACACACACACACACACACACACCCCGCCGCAGTTCCCAAAGCTACCTGCTCCCAGGACCCCGGTGGACAGATGCTTCTTACGCGGACTCGCAGCCCAGGCACTGCGCCTTGGGCGGAAGGGGCTCTCAGGATTCTGTCTTTCACAAAGAAGGACACTGGGTCTCTGCTGGGTCTCTTAAAGATTAAACGGGTGCTGCTGCTTCACTGGGGCGCTTTGCCCTTTGAGGCCAGACAATTCTTGTGTCCTGTGGGAGACGCTGCCCTCATCGAAGGGTCGTAAGGGCCCATAAATGCCCTTTGGGGCGGCCATCACAATCGCTCAAGGGGTTTTTCCAATGCTTCCCGTGGGACCACCAGCAGCTGAGGGCCACTGGGGTACCTACAGTGCCAGGGGAACTTCAAACCTGCCGCCCTCTTAGCCAGCAGGCTGCCCCCTAACAACAACCCCCGGCAGACCAAGGAATGCTGAACTGAGAAGAGGCCGGACATCCAAGCCCTGTCCCCTGGGCTTCTTCACTCCCAGAGTGGGGGTGGGGATGTATGGGGGGTCCCTATCTTTTCGCTTTTCCCTGAACCCCTCATCTCCCCCGCCACCCCAACCTCCCTCTCTTGTTTGCCTTCCTGGAAAGACGAGGGCGGTTACCAGATGTCAGGGTGTGTGGCTCAGGACAGCGAGAGGCAGCGATGGGGATGAGCTTACGACGCCTCCTGTTGGGGGCGGGAGCATGTCGGAGGCCTGGGGCCGGGAACAGCGTGGCTCAAAGCGATAAATACCCCCGTGGGTGGCGGCCGGGCCCCACCGCCCAGCGCTCCTGAAAACTGACCCCTGCCCGCATGAATGGGAATGAGCTCCAAAGGGCACATCTGCATCCCCGCCCACGGCAACGCTGACATCTGTGCTTGGAGGGTGCCCACCACCCCACCTCCATGGCCCTTCCATCACCCGGGGCCCCAGTCCACACACAGTTGGGAAACGCACATAACACGCTAGCTTACGCGCGTGCACACACACACACACAGGACCGAGCCACCCCCCCCCCAAATTTAGGGGGAACTCTGAAGCTCAAACTAGCCAGGGGCTCCAACCTAGAGCCGTGGGAGGGCTGGGGAGGGGAGTCTACTCAAGGAACAGACCCCTCGTAGCCTCCCTCTTTGTCCCACCCTCTCCAACCCCAGGGGCCTGCTGGTCCCGGAGCTGACCTCAGGTGATGTTTATATTCCTGGGCCGTCTGTTCTGTGAACGGAACATCTGATACGTTTTCAGAGAAATGTGTGGGTTTGGGGTTGTTTTGTTGTTGTTGTTTTTCATCTGGCAAGAACATCTGGGTCTGTCCGCCTGGAACAGGCTGTCCCTTGCATGACACCTTAGCCGATTTGAGCGTTCAGCCCATCCTGCCAGGTGAGGCCCAGGCCCAGAGTGGGAAGGGAGAAGGGGCTCCCAGTGACCAGGACCCTCACTTTCTTCACCGCCTCCCGGGGGGCGGGTTCTCGGGTTCATCAAGAAGAGGCTGTAAGGAGACAAAGACTCAGAGCGGGCTTGGCTGTGGGGCGGGGGCTGGGGATGGTCATGTACAGTCGTACAGGTTGTGCACTGCCCAAAGGCCTCCGCTGGCCCCCCAGGCAGGAGCCCGCGGCTGGACGTGAAGGCTCCCTCCCCACAGACTGGAAGGACAACGCCTTTCATTCCCCCCGCCCCACTCCCCCGAGCTGTGTGCAGCGCGTCAGGACTCTTGGGCCTGGCTGTTTAGGACCCCAGTGAAGTAGCGCCCCATGGCTGGGTGGTGGGCTTTCCCTAAGATGTGCCCCTGGGCAGACACCAGGCAACTCTTCCCCAGCACAAGGAAGAGGGGCCTCGCTGAAGGCTTGGCCAAACCTTCCCACGAGCAGCTGCTCTCACACTGGGCCTGCTCTTGCTCAAGAGCCTCCCTGACTCCTTTCCTCCCCGGTTAACTCCCAGCAGGGCCACCGGCATTGCAGCCAAGAGGCTCTGCTCCGGGCCCCTCTAGGGAGCTGGAGTGGGTGGGAAGCTACCTCCTCTTTGGTGGTCTTTCCCCAGTGCTCAGTGAAGAGTGTGGGCTGCTCTGGGGCGGGAGGGGCCGCCCTTCCTTCACCCATGCACCCATGTGCATTTCAATAAACCAGCAACTGGGAAGGCTCCAGGGAGCTTACAGGCCTCAGGATGGACAGCTGTGAGCCCCAGGGGGTGGCCAGCAGCAGGGTGAGGGCGATGGGGGTGGGAGGCCCAGGGTAACCCTTAGAGGTTTCTCCTCAGGGATACCCGCCTTGGACTCCAGTTTTGGCCTTCAAGTCTAGGGCAGCACAGCTGACAAGTGTGACCGCCCTCCCCCAGCCCCTAGAGATTGGGTGCCTCCCCTGGGTCCCGATTTGCATGGCAGGAAGGGGCCTGGTGAGGAGAGGCGGGGAGGGGATGGGTTGCAGGCGGCCAGTTCCACGTTTCCCCCCAGCAGCCTCAGACGTGGGCACGGGGCTGGGGTTGGGACAGAGGTGACCATGGCTGGGCTGGTGCTGTCCCCTGTCCCCAGCAACTGGCTGGTGCTGCTGCTGCTGCTGCTTTCAGGTATGAGCTTCCCACCTGCCCCCCCAGGCCTGCCGGGTGCCCCAGGCCAGGCCCCAACTCCTTCCTCACTACCTGTTTCTCCCTCCTGACAGCCCTGGGCCCGAATGTGTGGCCAGCTGCCATGCCGGGCCCAGGAGTCTCCTGTCTGGAGGGCCTGGGTGATGGTCGGAGGAGCTAGGCCCAGGGTGGGCACCCAGCAGAGGGAAGGAGAGCTGGGAGAGGTCCCTGGGGTGTTCCCTGTGGAGGTGGGAAGAGGCATGTTCCAGAAAGGGCCTCCCTGTCAGTCGGAAGACCCCAGCTGTGGCTTCCCTTGTCCGGTCTCCGCGTCACAGCTTGTTCAAGGACACCCTGCGGGTCCGAGGAAGAGGGAGCAGGTGGCAGGTCTCCTGGTACCCCGATGGCTGAGGCCACAGTCCAGGGGCGGAGGGTGGGGCAGGCAGAGGGGTCTGGAAGCTGCCGCCCGAAGGAGAAGGTGGGTCTGGAAGAGTAGAGGGTGCAAGCGCAGGGGCGGGGCAGCCACTCTGGGGCCTAGAGGCCTGGCAGGCCCCACCCACTTCCTCCCTCCATCCTCAGCAGGTGAGACGGTGCCCGCCACCAAAACAGAGGACCTGTACCCGGACTCCTCAGGTTGGCAACCTCACCCACTCCTTCCGGTTTGTCTCTGACCTCCTCTGGTGACTGTCCTGTAGGCTGTCCCCTGGCTGCCCCTTGGCCCAGCCGTGCCAGGTCCCCTCACCCAGGGCATCCTGCCCCAACCTCTGTAGGCCTCCCTCTCCCCCTTGGCCCCAGTCCCCGGCAGCTGTCACCCTCATTAGACACGGTTCCAGCCCAGGGAGGAGCGGTTAAACCGCAGAGGGGGGAGTCAGGGCTGGGTCGGTCTGCCCAGAGGAGAGCAGGCTCAGGCTGGGCCTCAGCCACGTGAGGAGTGAGGGGTTGTGGGGGGGGTGGTGCTCCCTGAGGCAGAGGCAAGTGGAAGGCGTCCTTGAGGAGGTGGGAGGGAACAGCCTAGAGTGGGTGACAAGGGAGGGGAGGACCTGCCACACAAAGGCCAGAGGTGGAGCAGGCCTGTGCCACAGAGGGGCTCACAGGGCAGATGGGGCCTCAGCTGCCGGGTGAGGGGGTGTCCTCTGTGCCCTGGAGGCAGGCAGGGTGCTGCCAGGCAGCCTGGAAGAGATACAAAGTTATCAGAACTTGTAGGCCCTGTGTCCTGAGGGAGGCCTGCCCTGTGGCCCCTTGTCCTAGGGGAGGCCTACTCCGTCTGTAATCCTTTGGTTTAGGGGAGGCCTGCCCTGTCTGTGGTTCTTTGTTTTGGGGGAGGCCTGGAGCCAGCCTCTGCAGGGAGATTGGAAGGGAGCGGGACGGTTCCAGTGTGCTTCTGAATGGAAATTAAAAGGGTGGCAGGAAGGGGCGGGTTGGTGGTTTAGCCTGTGGCTTTCACGTGACTCGGTGCTCACCTCACTATAGCTGAGAAAGAAGGGCGGAAACAGGGGTAGCCGGCTCTGCAGGATTGAGGTTTGTCCGTCCAGCAGCCGGGATGCTGAGCGAGTATTGAGCCTGGCCTTGGTGCCCACAGGAAGCCCTTGCTCCCGAATCTGGCAGAACCCACGTTTCGTGGCCCGGAAGCGGAGCTACACGGTGAAGGTGAAATGCCACACGGACGGCACTGGCGTGGTGAAGTGGTTCTGGAAGCGACTAGGGGACCAGGAGCCCCGGGAGCTGCTGGAGGACCAGAGCCACATCCTGCAGACCTGGAACCACTCCGTGGCCACCCTCACCATCCGCGACATCCAGTATGAGGACAACGGCGTCTACTTCTGCCAGCAGACGTGCGGCGGGCCCCGTCCAGAGACTCACTGGGGCTGTGGCACCGAGCTGCGGGTCATGGGTGGGTCTCAGGCCGGCCCTGACCTCAACCAGAGTGGGCATGGGAGGGAGGTGGGCTGCAGGGGAGCCTCATCGAGTGCCCACATCACACACCCCAGCCCTGCCTGACCTACCTGTCCCTGTGGGACCCTCAGAGTCCCCAGGAGAGATGCAGGGGTGCACCGCGGGCCTGACTCCTCTGCCCC